GGTTCCGTGCCCGTTATTGCACTGGGCACCCGGGTTCTGCCGGGCTGCCCAGACACGCAACTGACCTTGTTAGGCACCAGAATGATGAGTGGAAGCAGCAGGATCGGGGAGAGGAACAAAATCATGAAGGACTTGAACTTGGTCAAATAAGTCTTCACCGAGGCCATCGCGCGGAAGGGAGGCAGACTGGCGGGAGAGAAGATTGAGAGGCAGCTGGAAGCTCCGCGAGCTTAAAAGGGGGCCGCGCGGTCCCACCGGATTGGGGGCGGCTACAACTCCGCCCCTCATGGCGGGGCCTCCCGGGGGGAGCCACCCCTCGGGGTCTGTCCCGGGACTCTGCCACCCCGCGGCGGAGAGAGGCGTCTGCAGATTCCGGTGTTTGGCACCAGCCCTCTGTGGAGGGACTGGGACCCTGGCACCTCACCGCTCGCCAAGCCCGTGGGCGCTGCTCTGGACGCCGACACTACGTAGGGTGTGCAGGTCATCCTGCCAGCTTTAGCGTGAGAACCCCTTCTGTTCCCGCACCTGCTCTCTTCTGGGCTCTGAAGGGTCCCAGATGAAAAGCTCCACCGGCCTGTAGGTTTCTCAGGCTTCTCTCTCCAAAGCTCTCTCCTTCTCATCCCGATCACGGAAAGGTGTCTCTTAGAGGCGGTGGCTGAGCCCTGCGCCACCGCGGTCCCCTCACCCCCAGGATCCTCTGGCTTCCCCCTTGCGTTAGCCCTACTCTGGACACAGAACCCATTTCACTCCTCGTGCCCTCTCCCACCCAGCGCACCCTGGGCGCTCTACAGGGACCGCTAAGGAAGGCGGTCACTGTCCTCGCAGTCCGAACGACTTTCGCCCTCCAGCGGACGCGCGTGAGCAGCGTTCTCAGCTCCAGGCGCCAGCAGCTGCTCACGTGAGGAATACCTCGATAGTCTCATTTTATGGAGGGAGATGGGGTAGAGGGGACATAACCCTGCCAATTGTGAGAAGGGGGTTCGTTCATTCATTCATTCATTCATTCATTCATTCATTCATCCTGCCCTCAATAGAGGTATGCTTAGTACCTACTGTGCTAAGTCCTGTTTGGGGCACCAAGACAGGAGGATGCAAAGGCATCAGCACCTCGGTGACTTCTTCCTCTCTTCTCTTCTGCCAGCCTCTCATCGTCAGCTTCTTTGGGGAAGTCTTACCCATACACCACAGGCTGCTTGTTAGACGTTTCACAACACATGGCTAAGTCCAGATTCCCGTACAGTCAGCTCTCACCACCGATCCAAATACTACTTCGTTGCTGACATGGTTAGAATGTTTAGGACTAGGATGGCGGCTCCTGTTATAAACGTGGAAACCATCAGTATACTCTAAACCATGCAGTGACCAGCAATCACCACAGCATTTACTTTGTGTTAGGTGTTGCAAGCAACCTGGAGGTGAACTGAAGAATAACTTATATGCAGTCACTAGGCATTATATGAGAAGTCCCAGCCTCTCCTCTCACTTCTCCACCCCCAAGCCTGCGGCCACCACCATCAGGAAAGAATTATTCCCCACCTTTCTCAGCCTGTGTATGTTCAAAGCCCTAAAACTCAGCACATGGCTGTATCAAGATCTTGACTCTAGTCCTGTGACCTATCACCATCCTCTCAAGTCTGCAACTGCCTTCTTCAGCCCCCCTCTCTTTTTTCTTTCATTTTCTATTTTCATTTTCTACGGGCCCCACCCTCTTCCCCTCAGAGCACTCAACACTAGATTTCTTGGTTTGTTTTTGTTGTTGTTTCATGATATTATGTGTATGGGTATTTTACATGCATGTGTGCATGTGTACCATCTGTATGCCTCATGACCCCAGTGTCAGAAGAGGGGTATTCTGGAACAAAGGTCCCTGGAATGGTGGTTATGGATGGTTGGGAACCACCATGTGGGTGCCAGGAACTGAACCCAGGTCCTCTGCAAGAGCAACAAGTGTTGCTCTTTACCTGTAAGCTATTTCTCCAGCCCATGGAAGTTTTTATTTAATCTTGGTTTTATCACTGAGTGCTCACTCAACACCCTTTACTGAGCTTTGGGTGTTCACTCAAAGCTATCTCTCTGGGATATATAATGCAAGTCAACCATTCTGTTAAAACTCAAGTCTTTAAAGAGGCTATAATTTGTGCTCTGCCTCTAGGTACCTGAGTCCTTATTCCATCCCTGTGTTGTCTTAGTGCTGTGTCTGAGGTTTCCATTCTGATTCATCTTCTCACAGATAGAGAGATTCATACCAATTTTTATTTCCAATGGCTGTTTGAAGACCATGAGTAAGTACTAACATGCTGTGGCCTCCAGTCAGCAACCAACAGTATTTGCTCTTGCTTTATACAGAGCTTTTGGTATTAATTAAATGGCATTGCCATTGGTTTCAGGTAACTCCTCATGTTCAATTGAAACTGAAGGTATGGATGCAAGTTATGAGAGCTTTGAGAAGAGCTCGTCAGAAAGGAGAGCCCATATCATTAAAATTTTGGTGTTTACATAATTTAATATCAAACACTCTGGAGCTGTTGCAGAGTGAGGAATCACATATAGTTGTATCTGAAGTAGAACAGAAACGTAAAAGAGAAGACATTAAGGCTAGAATTTGTCAGTAAGGCAGCAGATACAACTTCTGCAAAGGCAGTCTACACATTAGAAACACATCCAGCAAAAGCTTTCAACTCCACAAAACACCAAAACACCAGCAAACCGAATGATGACACTCTGCCATCTCACTAACAAAAGCATTGGTTTATAAACTGTCTGTTGAGCAGAAGCATCAAAGGACGAAACTGCCTCTACACTATACCCATTGATTTTACATGGGGAGAGTTGAGAGCATTGACAGGGCTCAGAAGGCCTAATGTTTCCACAGGGTAATCAGAATCTACTTTGGGAAACCTTACAAATTAACATGAAGAACTGTATTAAAGAGTCACAACCGCTGGGCTAGAGTGGAGGAAGCCCTGAAAGAGTGAAGTCTTCAATGAATGTGTGCTGCTGACAGAGGACAGTCATATCAAAGGACTTAGACCTTAGACCCATGGGAAAATGGCAAAACACCCACACACACCCTGAGGTGAGGCTCAGAGAAATGGCAAAGGCTTCCTCTGGGGTCCAAGTGTGGGTGTTGACAGTGTGTGCAGAAAATGTTCACCATCGATTTCTGCCCCCAGGTATTTATGACCTGAAACCTGCTTCCCCCAGAGGCTGCTCCTGCCCAGATCAGCTAAGCCTGTCTCCTTGACCCAGAAGTGCTGCCTCCTTTTTTATCTGTATGTAATAGCCCTGCCATGTCACCCAGCTATAGCCAATAACCTCACCTCTCTCTCCAAATTTTAATAATAAACATGCTGAATTTGCAGAGTTCTGAGGCTTCTCCATCAGAGATCCCAGTCCACCCAATGCCAGCTTTTTTTTTCCTTCATCCTCTCACAGCCCCAGCCATGTCTGTCCATGAAGCCCTGCAGGAGTCATCAGAGGAAAACATATGGTAGACATTCTAAGACTCAAGCATGGGCAAAGACTTCCAGAGAAAGACTCCAACAGCTCAGGGAACAAGAGCAACTATTGGCAAATGAGACTCCATGAAATTTAAAAAGTCTCTGCACTGTAAAGGGAACACTCAGTCGATCTCTGGCTCTCTCAGACCTTGCTGCCAGGAACATAAACTATAACCGGTGTGCTGAAAGCCAACTTGGCGGGTTTCTTAGGAGGTTAAACATACCTTTACCATGAACCCAGTCATTCTTCTCTTGGGCACTTATCCTCAAGAGATGCATGCCCGCATTCCCACACAAACCTCTGTGTGATTGTTTTTGGCAGCTTCTTTAGGACAGTCCCAAAGTGGAAGCAGCCCACAGGTCCTTCCAGGGCCAGGGAGGTGGATAGCTAAACAGGCATATTCCATGCAGGCTACTCCCCAGCCATGAACGGGGCACATATGCCTAGACTGCAGCAGCACCGAAGATCACTGGGCTGAGTGGAAAGGCCAGTCTCAACGGGTCACATATGATATCCTTCCATTTATAGAAAATGCCACAAGTGACAAAATTAAAGAGAGGCAAAATGGACCAGTGTTTGCCAACGGTGAGGTTTGGAGAATATTACTAGCTTTTTTTTTTCTTTTTTATGCAAGACAACTAGAGGGTGTCTCTGTGGTGACCGGTTTGGAGAATATTACTAGCTTTTTTTTTTTCTTTTTTATGCAAGACAACTAGAGGGTGACTCTGTGGTGACCAATGAGTATTGTGGCCTGATTGTGGTGGCCAACACCCCAATCTATATGTGTGATATAATTCTAAAATACCACACACACACACACACACACACTCACTTTCTGCCTATGCACAAACCATTAAACTAAGCATGACCCTTAGTTGAGTTAGTAGTATTTTATCAATGTCAATGTATGATGTCTAAATAAGGCAGCATATATCTGTTTTTAAAAGGTTTTTTTTTTATTTCCTCTTAACAGGGGACCAAAAATAGCTCTACTAAAATCTTACATTTTAAAATCTAAAATATCTTCTATAATAAAACTAATGTATTTGTTGAATTTCTTGACAAATTGTTCCCAAAACTTCATTGTCACTTCTTCACTATGGGCAATGGGGCTGTTAGTGCAGGGGGATTTGGAGAAAGGTGTGTAGAACTCAGTATATTTTTTTTTAACTCTTTGTAGGTCAAACTGGAATTAAAAGGTCAAATAAAACATTTTTTATGTTTTCATGAATGATTAAGCTCCTGTATGATAAATCCTTCTCAGTTTACAGTTTGTGTTGACATCTGAGCCCAAGAAAATGCTATCATTGATGAGACTGTGGCCTGCAAAGACACTTCCGGGAACATAGCTGGCGGGTGGATCCTCCTGGGCTTTGGATGTTCTGTTTTTGCTAGTGTGTGCCTATTTGGGCATGATGGCTTGAGTACTTCCATGGATGGGCTATTACAATAACTGGCCATAATATTACCTCTGGGCTTTAACTTGGGAATGCTCTTATTTGTAAACAAACTGGTTGCTTAAAAAGTTAGACATTGGATTCAAAGAGAGTATCAGTCAGTTCTCCCAAGGCTAGACCTACAACAGAAAATGTTACATGAGTTGTAAGTCAGGTGGGGTCTGGTCCCATGTGAGGATGGATGTTGAGCAGCACCAGATCCATCTTGTCCTGGACAGGATGGGCTTCACCTAAGCTGAGGAAGGATGCAGAGGGCAGGTACAGAAGGGCCTTTCGGGAACCCACAGACCTAATCTAAATGCCTGTGCTGCTGGCAGGCACCACACACACTTCTCAACCCTCATCTTCTCTTAGCCAACCTAGTCACCTGGCTAAGTTCCAAATCAAAGCCCTGGAGAAAAGGCCATCTACTACAGGGAAAGGTGGGGGAATTAACCAGTGTGAGCCAATGGTCCCGTCTGCCACGCATACAGTTGCTAAGTTCAGAGGGCACACTTGTTTCTTTTCTAAGTGATGTGCACAGAAATGGGGCCAACTCACATGAGTCATTTGGGTTCAGACAGTTGTCACAGGGACGCAAATCCACACCTACCCAAAATGGAAAGGAAAATACACTACTTTTTGATAGTCTGATTCAAATAATTAGGCTGGCAGTTAAGACT